TGAAAGTTGAGGGGCTTAAAGAGGGAAAGATTTTGGATAAGGATGGCTTATTTCTTTTTCTCCTTTTCCTCTTTCTTCTCAGCCCGATTCTGCTCTTCTTCTTCTTCTTCCCGCTGCAGCCAAAAAAAAAAGGGAACCCAGCCAGCCTTTGAGAAACCGGTAAAGCTTGATGATTTTTCCCCCCCTTTTCTTGTTCTAGAACCTGATTTGGAACCCAGAAATTCTCCCCCCTGCATGAAGCTTTCGAATCTGCCTTGCTCTGCTCCTCACCGTCCGGCTGCTCCTGCTTTATGGGGGCGAATTGCCTTGATTTTTCGGTAAGAACAGCCATGGGTCTCCTCCTGTTAGCCTTAAATTAACTTGGGTTTACCTTAATTTCCTCTTGGTTCTCCAATTTTTGGGTAGATTGCGTGATTCTCCTTTGCACTTGCCGCCGGCCTTCCCCAATCTGCAGCTCTGGTTTTAGCTGGAGAATTATGGTATGTGACAGCCTTTTAAGGCTTAAATTATCCATTTTGTTTGCTGCCTTGTGTGTCCGTGAATTGCTAGAAAATTGGGGATAATTCCGGTAGCTTTAGGACCATGATTAAGCACTGATTCAAGTGGAATTTATATGATTGAGTGTTAATGGACTGCTATATGATTTTTGGAGGAAAATCCCGTGAGATTAGTTAGTGTTTTGGCCAATTTGTGGAAGTGGAGTACTGTTCATGTCGGGGTCACTGTTCACCGGCACTGTTCACCGGTTACTGTTTACACCCCGAGGGCCAACATTTAACGGGAATTTAAATGATTAGTTTGTGATATGAGAACGAATTTGGAGATGTCCAATCATGTGGAAAGTGATAGAAATAGCATTGTGATTAGGAATGATCCTAATGATGATTTTAGCTTGAATTTGTGATAGTTCGATATTAATTCTCGGATGTTTTGATTAGGTTCTTGATCGTTCTGTCAATTAGCACTGAAATTGAGTGCTCGGTTTTATGCAAGTGAGGTAAGTAAATTTATGGTAATGCCCGTACTGTTTTAAAAGCATGTTTTGATTTGTTTTTGAAGTGGTGGCGGGACTACACCCGTTTTACACAAGTATGACTGATTTGAAGTGAATTGTTTTATGCTTTTCATTAAATTGAGCATGCTTACTTGAAATTTAAGTGACCGTCCTGATGATCTGAAAGTGATTGGTAAATTATGTTTTTCTGTTAACTTCAGCCTGTTTTGTCTCCGATATGGTCATGTTATTCGTGTGCCCGCTAGTGGGAGGTTTATAAACGCTAGCACATGTCGACATGTTACTGATAGAACCGGTTCGTTTCTATAACCCTACTAGTGGGGGTTAAACACTAGTAATTTCTGTAGCCTGTCAGTGGGAGGTTTATAACACTGGCCGTGACCTATAGAGGAGACGTCTATTTCGTGCCCGTACTGTATCTGTTTTCGTGATTGTACTTGTTGGCATGCTTTAAGTTTGATAAGGGGCACTCCATATTTACTTACTGAGTTTATCTCATAGTTTTTCCTTGTCCATCATTTCAGGAAATGAAACCGAGGACGGGGAAACCATGGGAAGTGATGAGTTAGAAAGCTAGCCATTTCGAGATTGATATAGACTTTAGAAATAGATCATGATCTTGTATTTGGAGATATTATTGGAGATTTATGATATCGGAGAAATTTTAAAGATTTGATCTTCAGATTTTGATGGTATCAGATTGTGGTGTGATAAGTTCCGAGCCTTGTGCATTTGTGGGACTCGTCTCATGAGTGCACGGCGTCTGTTGCGCCTCGGATTTGGGTTCTGGGGCGTGACAACACACTATTATAAATTCCTTATTTTGCAGCGATTAATTTTATTACCATAAAGTACTTTTATAACATCTTATCTTGTAAAATAATACTTTTATTT